TGTCACCAGCTGGCAGGAAAACATTCACCAATCACTCTCTTTAATATGGGATGGGGGTGGAGCTGAGACTGAGTTAGGACTGGGGGAGAAGGCAAGTTTGGGCAGATGGCTAGACTGCCAATGCTGGTCACCTGCTATTGAAGCTGATCCATGTTTCCAAGCAGGGGCCTGGCCCAAAGAAAGGACTTGACTTACCTTCTGCCCAAACCAAAGTAGCCCTGGAAGGAGGGGGGAGGGGGGTTGCTCATACCAACCTAAAGTTACCAATATACCTATTACACAGCTGCCATGGCTTGTTGCCACCTTGAAGAGGAAAACTTTTCTTTAGCACTGAAATAGTTAAGAAGACTTTAAGCAGCCTCAAGTATGGGCTTCCGGATGCTAAAGGACCCTTCTTTTTAAAGTATCTTGTAATTCTTCCTTCAGAACATTTTAGACATTTTGGGGTTTTTTTAGTTTTATACATTAAAAAAAAATTGTCAAGCCTTCACATTTATTCATACATACGGAGGAATAAAAAAATAAAAGAAAAAAAACCTCGACAGCTGTTTAATCAACCTCTTTTTTTAAAAAAATAAATCAGTAAGAAATACCCCAAAGACCAAAACTGTGCAGGCAACAGTTTTCCCTGCAACATTCTATGGAAGCAAAAGTTGGACTTTGAAGAAACAGGACAGAAAGAGTACTAACATTTTTGAATGCTGGTGTTGGAGAAGACTCCTGCAGATATCATGGACAGTCAAGAAAGCAAAGAATTCCTTCCTTCCTTCCTTCTTTCATTCCATTTATATAGCTCCCCATCTCACAATCATGACTCTGGGCAGCATACAATAAAAATGGATCACAAAAAAATAAACTGAAGTTCTCACTTGAGGTGCAAATGACCAGGATCAAGTTGTCATATTTTGCATATGTTATGCAAAAACCTAGCTTTCTGGAGTAGTCTGTAATGCTGGGAAAGGTTGAAGGAAAGAGAAGAGGACAACCAGCAACAAGGTAGATGGATACACTGTTGGAAGGCCTGAAGGGCCAGGTCAGGGACAGAACACCCTGGAGAAGATCTATGTAGTCACTAAGAGTTGACACGGACTTGATCGCACATAATCAGTCAATCAGTCAATCAAACCATATAGAGCATAAATTATATTAAGTCTAACCCTATGATTCTATGATAATGTTATTGGGCAATATGTGTGTTATTAAATGCCTCAATGTTGCATCCAAAGTTGGCTAATTAACAATGCAACTGGTCTGAGTTGAACAAGTTGAATCATTACATTAAGATATGTATATATAAAATTGCTGACTATGTATTTACCATAATATTCATTAAGCCTTGTAGACACCACTTAGTTCAAGAAAATTCAGTGTTTAAATAGAGGAACTGTTATTCTTTCAGGACATAATGCAAACAATTTGATGCCAGTGATATTTATTAACTCACATCAAGGGAACAGAAGGTTTTTATTGGGTTGAAGAGGCCTCAGTTTATAAAAGTGGGGGAAGACAAGAGGATCAAATTCAAGAATTTTGAGAAAGACATTAAAAGTGTAACACAGGACAAAGCTGGATCACATTCACAGACCTGACAAAATCTCAATGTATCAAACAATGAAGACCTGGATTTTCTGGTAGTTATGTTGCAGTAACTGTTTCCTCTAAAGGGTAGAGGAAACCTTTAAACACTTGTGAAGGAGAAAACTTAACACAAATTCTATTGACATTATGTCCATTAAAACTGCTTAACTCTATAATTTGGGTGCAAAAGAATCCATCCAACATTATGATGCAGTTGTTCTATAGTTAAATATGAGGAATGGCAACTCTCTTAGAACTTTGGTTTGTTTTTGTTTTTTAAAATAAAATCTTTTTGTGACACTACAATAAGATTTGCTCTATTATTGACTGAACATGGCCAGGGTCTAGGCTGGTCACTGGGGCACGGTCTGCCATATTATCTGGGAGTCCTTTTGGTTGGGGTTTCCTGATGTCCTCTGCCACTTGTGAGTTGGATCCTTGCCCTTCCTGGTTCCTGTATGTGGCCAAATGGGAGATAATTATCTGGATCCAGGAAGCAGTCAACACCTCATTGCAGAAATGGTATTGCCAGCACCTTAAAAGAGGCTGAGGTGAGCCTCCTCCTTAGGAGGCCCTCTTTGGATCCAGGGGTGTAACTACTGCCCTGTCTCCAATCTTCCCTTTTTAGGAATGACAGAAGTGGGACACCAACAGTGAAGCACTCTAGAGGAAATGGATTTCATGAAGTTTTTCAGCCGTGCTTCTGGCCCAGACATGGGATAGAATGCACTGGTCATTCTAGATTACCTTTGTCAGGACCTGGACCTCTCATTGGCCTTCAGTATCATCAACCATGGTATCCTGCTAAACTGTCTGCTGGGGTTGGGATCTGGGGCATTGTGATACACTGCCTCTGCTCCTTCCTCCGCAGGCAGTTCCGATCAGTAGCGGTGGCCAGGCGGGGGGGAGGATAAGAGAGGTTGGCCCAGGAATTACTTACTCTCTTGTGGAGTGCCAGAAAATATAGTGCTCTCCCCTATACTTCTTTTAAAATCTACACAAAGCCACCAGTGGAGTTCATTTGATAGTTCGGATTCAATATCATCAGTGTGCTGATACCTAGCTTTACATCACAATGCTGGGCCGTGCTAGGGATGTCGTTGGAAATCTTGTCCCAGTGCCTAAAGGCTGTAAGTATCAGGATGAAACAGAAAAGGCTACAGTTGAACCCAAGCAGCCATTGGTTGTTCCTCAAGGCTCTTTGCTCCCATGTTGTCTCTTGATGGGGAGGTGCTACCCCTGAAGGAGCAGGACTGTGACTTGGGGATCCTCCTGGTCTCACAGCTCCTGCTTGAACGACAGGTGGAGACTGTGGCTAGGGTGACCAGTCACAGCCCTATCAGGGGTATGAGGACCCTATTATCACTACCCATTTGGACTACCATAATGTGCTGTATTTGGAGTGCATTTAAGAACCACTCAAAAGCAGCAAATAGTCCAGAACGCAGCAACCTGTGCACTAACACCTGGCATTGGGAACACATGATGGCTGCGCACTGGCTACCAATGAGCTTCCAGGTGCAATTTAAAGTGCTGGTTTTAATTTATAAAGCCCTATATGGATTGGCACCAGGTTACTTTCAGAATTATATTCTTTAACTAGAATTGGCCCAATAAATACAATTTTAGAGGAGAAATAACTTGTGGTCAGACTTCTCCGGACAATAGATGGGTGTGCCTGGGTCCCACTGGTTTCGG